AGACCGGTCCTTAGAGAGGGACATCATGCTTGGGAGGGTGGAGGGACAGCGCAGGAGAGGAAGGCCCTCTATGAGGTGGATTGATTCAGTGACTGGGTTAATTGGGATGGGAGTGTTGGAGACAGTGCAATTGGCACAGGACAGAGCGGAGTTTAGGGCTATTGTACATAGGGTCACTATGAGTCGCAGGCGACTCGACAGCACATAACAACAACAAACAACATGTTGTCATTCCTATAGGGTGTTTGGTTATCACTAAGAAGTTAATATAACTTTACAACACTGGATATACCTACATGCAACTGAGGAGGACCTGAAGCACTTGCTGTAGCAGAAACATCAAGAATACAAAGATTCTCACCACTGGGCCAATTAGCAGCACCATGGTAAATTGAGAAGAGATTGAGGTTGTTAACAATTACAACTTGCTTGACTCCATAATCAACACTCTTGGCACCAGTAGTCAGGAAATCAAAAGGTGAATTCATTGGGAAAGTCTGCTGTTAGGGACCTCTCCAAAGTCCTAAAGAGTAATGATGTCTGTATAGGGACTACAGTGCACCTGATCCAGGACCTGGTTTTCACAATTATTTGCTATGTATCACAGAGCTGGAAAATGACTAAGGATGACAGAAGTAGAGTCTGTGCCTTTTGAGTTGTGGTTCTAGGGAAGAGTACTGATCATACCAAGGACCTCCAAGAGAACAAACATGTCTGTCTTGGAAAGAGTGAAACCAAATTCTTCCTTAGAGGCTGGGATTTTGAAGCTCCGTCTCACATACTTTGAGCAAATGGCCAGGAGGGACCAGTCCTTGGAGAAGGTCATCTATCATGCTTGGAAGGGTAGAGGGAAGAGCAAGAGAGGAAGACTCCAGATGAAACGGATTGACACAGTAACTGTGGTAATGGGGGTAGGTGCATCAGAGTCAGTAAGACAGTAAATCAGGACAGGCTTCAGAGTTATTTTGCACATAGGGCTGCTATGAGTCCTGTGCGACTTGATGGCACATAACAATAACAACAACAACAACGTGCATATTTAAATATACATGTAAAAATGTCACTTGACAAGCTTAGGTATGGTTGTGAGTGTAGTCCCTTTCACATGCCCATATCTATTGTTGTTGTTAAGTGCCGTTGAGTTGTAGACGACTTATAACGACCCTATGAACGAAACACCTGAACACGTGTATAACTTCGGTCATTTCTCCATTTTCATAGAGCCTCCGGAGGCAAGCCATTTCGGAAGTGGATGCTACTCCTGCTTCTAAGCTTATTTTAATTGGGAAGCTCCACCAAACACTATCCACCATAAGTAAACATTATTGCATTTGGCACATCAGTGTCCCAGTGTTTAGCATCACAGCAACCACAAGTTACCTCTGTACAGCAATGCACAGACCAGTTCTATAACACGTAGAAGAATGTTTGACAAAAAACAATTTAAACTAGACCCAGAGGCCACAGGCCCGAGGGCCCTAATGGGTTTTTTAATAGGAGGCTGACGCACACCAACTCACTCCACTTAGTGCATCAGCATTCCACCCTAATGATCACTAGTCCCAGCCAACAAGCTTCTGTAGAATCCGGCTCCTGCAGATGACTTTCAAACTGGATTCCAGCTCCATATGGCCAACGAAAAGGGTTTTAATCTTGCAAAATTAAATAAGGGTGAATATTTTAGATTATCTCAATAGCTCAACTTATTGCCGTTGAGTCAGAACTGACTCACAGCTGACCCTCTAGTGAGTTTTCAGAGGCTATAAATCACACAAGAGATTGTTCAGCTGTCCTTCATGGAACTGCTTACTCCTTACTCACTAGGCTCTTGATCACCTTTATAAAAATTGTTTCACTGATAATTTCAACCTCCACTCATAAGTTTGTTATAGTAGATTTGAATGAGTTTTTGTTTCCAGGTCTACTAATATATTAGATATGGTTCTTTAGGCAAATTACCTCTCAGCATCTCATTTGCTTCATATGTAAGATGAGGGTTGAAAATCTACTCATTTGTAATGATCATAGTGAGAAGAGTTGTTACAGCTTAAAGGTGACCAGTCTAACACAGTCAAGGCTAATTTACCAAAGGAATTATTTATAAAACTCAAGTTTCTTGCCATGTAATGTGACTCTGAGTATACAAGACTACAGGATCTTCAAGATATAAGAAGCAATTCCATAGTAAAGTAACTTTTTTCCATCTCACCTAGAAATTGTTGTCTGTCTGACCGTCGCTTCAGACTTAGCTTCACCAGGTCTGGGGGGACATCGAGCAGGCTGACCACCTCCTGGTAGGTCTCAATGGCCCCCCGCAGCACCTCATTGCTCTTCTTCTTCTCGGCTAAGTCATCTTCACACTAGAGGAAGCCCCCACAATGCATGAGTGTCACCTGACCAGCCACACTTGTGGTTATACTAAGTATGCATACTAGGTAAGTTTTAAACCACATGGAAAGTAATTAAAAACAAATGTTCAACATTTCTTATATTTAGAGATCAAAAAGCAATGCAATACATTCTTTTGAAAATGTGGAGAAAAATTAGCTCCAAGATTATGGATGAGAAAGCACCAGGGCTGTTGAAGGTTTGTATTCATAAATAATCGAGTGTAGAGTATACAAAAATGCTGTGCAAAAATGACTCATCATACACCAAAACTAAAGAATTATTTGCATTCATCAATTTATCTAAAATATACTTATTGTGTGCTGAAAAGTATCCAAAAACAACTGGAGTAACACATCAACAGAGAACAGCTAGATGTACAGACTGGGTTTAGAAGAGGCTGTGGTTCTAGGAATATTATAGCTAATGTTAGATGGATGTTTGCTGAAAGCAGAGAGTACCAGAGGAATGTCTATCTGTGCTTCATTGACTATGCAAAGGCTTTTGACTGGATCGCAGGATGTGGCTGACTGAAAAGAATGGGAAACCCAGAACATTTGATTGTGCTAATGCAAAACCTATACTTGAACCAAGAGGCAGTCATCAGAACAGAGGAAGGAAACATTGCATGGTTCAGAATCAGGAAGGGTGTTCACCAGGGATGTATTCTGTCTCCATACCTCTTCAGTCTGTATGCAGAACAGATCATCCGGGACGCTGGGCTGTACGAGGCTGTGACATCAGAATTGGTGGAAAATTCATCAACAACCTGTGTTATGCAGATGACACAACCCTGCTTGCTGAAACTGAGGAGGACCTGAAGTGTTTGCTGCAGAAGGTCAGAGACTGCAGCCTTCAGTATGGATTGAGGCTCAACATTAATAAAGATTGGGCCAATTGGCAGAAACATGATTGATGGTGAAGAGATTAAGATTGTTAAGTTTTAGTTTGCTTGGCTCCACAGTCAACACTCTTGGTACCAGCAGCCAGGAAATCAAAAGATAAATTGCACTGGAAAAGTCAGTTGTCAGAGACCTCTCCAGCGTATTGAAGAGCAACGACACCATACTGGAGACTTAGGTGAGCCTAATACAAGCCATAGTCTTTGCAATTGTGTGCTATGCATCAGAGAGCTAGACAATAACTAGGGAGGATAGAAAGAGAATTGATGCCTTTGAGCTGTGGTGATGGAGAAGAGTGTTAAATATATCATAGATTGCTAGGAGAACAAATAGTTTTGTCCTGGAGAGGGTGAAACCAGACTAATCTGTGGAGGAAAGGATTCTGAAGCTCCATCTGACATACTTTGGGCATGATGTCCTTCGAGAAGGACATCATGTTTGGGAGGGTGGAGGGACAGTGGAAAAGAGGAACACCCTTGATGAAATGGATTGATTCAGTGATTGGGGTAATAGGAGTAGGTGTGTCAGAGACAGTGAGGTTGGCAGAGCAGGGTTTAGGGCTCTTTACATAGGGTCGCTATGAGCCACAAGCGACTTGACGGCACATAACAACAACAACAATAACTATGTACTAGGCTCTCTTTTAGCAGTCAATAAAACAAAGTCCCAGGTTTTCAGACACATTTTGAATGTGTATGTTTTTATATATCTATTGCCATGGGAAAGTCTGCTGTTAGGGACCTCTCCAAAGTGCTGAAGAGCAGTGGTGTCTCTCTGGAGACTAAGGTGCATCTGATACAGGCCACAGTCTTCGCAATCACCTGTTATGCATCAGAGAGTTGGACAATGACCAAGGAGGATAGAAGGAGAACTGATGCCTTTGAGCTGTGGTGCTGGAGAAGAGTACTGAGAATTCCATGGACTGCTAGGAAAACAAATAGATTTGTCCTGGAGAGGGTTAAACCGGGTGGCTCCTTGGAGGCAAGGATTCTGAGGCTCCGTCTAACTTACTTTGGACATGTAGTGAGGAGAGACCGGTATGAGGTGGATTGATTCAGTGACTGGGATAATTGGGATGGGAGTGTCAGAGACAGTGTGATTGGCACAGGACAGAGTGGAGTTTAGGGCTGTTATACATAGGGTCGCTATGAGTCGCAGGCGACTCGACGGCACATAACAACAACAACATGTGTGTGTGTGTGCATTTGAGTAGAGAGGAATAGTAGATACATAATTTTTTTTTAACTAGCATATACTAGTTTAGAAGAGGCTGTGGCACCAGCCACGGTAATAATATTTACTGATCTCAGTAATTTATTATACCAGTAATGATATTTACTGATGTCAGATGGATCTTGGCTGAACGCAGAGAATATCAGAAGAATGTTTATTTGTTGTTGACTATGCAGAGGCACTTGATGGTGTGGATCATAACAAATGATAGCTTACCTTAAGAATAGGAATTTCAGAGCATTTAATTATGCTTATACCAAATCTATACCTAGACGAAGAAGTTGTTACCCAATCAAAGAAACAGAACATTTCATGGTTTAAAATCAAGAACAGTGTACATCAGGACTGTACCCTTTTTTCCATACCTATTCAATCTGTATGCTGAGCAAATCAATAGAGAAACTAGACTTTATGAAGAAGAGTATGGCATCAGGATAGGAAGAAGACTCTTCAACAGCCTATGTTATGCAGATAACACAATCCTGCTTGCTGAAAGTGAGGAGGATCTAAAGCACTTGCTGCAGAGGATCATGGATTGCTGCCTTTACTATATCTCAACATCAAGAAAGCAAAAATCCTCGCCACTAGGTCAATAGGTAACATGAGGACAGATGAAGAAAAGAACGAAATTGTTAAGGATTTCATCTTGCTTGGCTTTACAGTCAACATTCTTGGTACCAGTAGTCAGGACGTCAGGAGATGTATAGCATTGGAAAAGTCTGACATCATGGACCTCTACTAAATGGAAGACCAATGATGTCAGCTTAAAACTAAAGTGCTCCTGATTCAAGCCATGGTTTTCCAATTACCTGCTATGCGTCTGAGAGATGAACAGCAAATAAGGATGACAGGAGAAGATTCAATGCATTTGAATTGTGGTGTTGGCAAGGAGTGCTGAATTCCATGTGGACTGCCAAAAGAACAGATGTGTCTTGGAGAAAGTACAAGTAGAGTGTTCCTTGGAGGCAAAGATGGTGAACCTTCATCTCACATATTTTGGATATATCATTAGGAAAGGCTATTCCTTGGAAAAGCACATCATGGTTTGAAAGGTAGAGGGTCTGTGAAGGAGAGGAAGACCCTCAATGAGATGGACTGATGATAAGGATGGCACAGGATAGGGCAAAGTTCAGATCTGTTGTTCATATGTTCACTATGGGTTATATTCAACTTACTGACACTTAACAACAACAACAAGCTGGTTATAAGAGAGCCCTGTTGGTGTACTCTGTAGGAAGTTGTGCTATGAAACCAAAGGTGCTCTGATAGTTTGAATCCACCAGCTGCATCTTGGCAGGAAAAGAGTAAAATCTCTTCCTGTGCATTAACAACCTCAGAAATCCACTAGAAGGTCAGTTATGAGTTGGTTTCAACTCAACAGCAGCGAATTAGAGTTTTCTTTTGCTTTTGTTTTATTTTCTTTTTCCAGGAAATAACTTTGATTATTGGCTTTCCTGCTTGTGCAGCTTTGCACAGTACGTCCATACACCAGACCTTCCTTTTAGGCATCAGTTTTTTGAGTGTTGGACTATAGGGAACTAACTCCATGGATTATGGTAATTTATAATGAATTCACAGAAGAATAGTGTTTCAGAACGGAAAGTATTCTTTTGAAACTATCAAGTTCTACTCCTTCATTTTAAACCTAAAATGCTTCAAAGTATACTCTGCATGGCTAATAGAGGACAAATGCCTGCCAAAAAGCATCCATCTATGTGGTAAGCTTATCAGGTGCCCTTTACTAAATTCAGTCTAAAAAGAGGGAATTATAATACAATATGCTTTGCTGTTTCTCCCCAAGCTCCCTCATTTTAACAATGCATAAACATTTTTACAACTTCCAGAATTGGGAAAAGATCAGCTTTAAATTGGTATATAATTCTTTCAAATATCTTGAAAGAAATAAAAAGCACTTGCTGTGAAAATGAAAATTGTAAAGATTGATTTTGATCAGTGTAACATCTGTAGATGAAGTGAGCTGAGCTGAGCCTGAGGCAAGGATGTTACAGGATGTTAAGGGAAGTCTTTCACTGACTCTACCTAATCCTCCTGCTCACACTCTGTAGGTGAGGGGTTGTTTTCTGCCTGAGAGGTCTTAATGGTCTGTGTAAAACAATAAAGTGAATTCAGTTTATAGTTCAATACATTGTGCCTGATTTTCAAGGAATTCATTCAAAACAGATTTTTCACAGATAGCCCACCACAGACTAAATAATATCAGTCTCAATTATAAAGGAGAGGCACTTAGATTGCATTAAGCTTCATACTGTTAACTTTAAAAAATATGTTAGTGGAATTCCAAGATGGCGGTGGTGGAGAGTGCAGTGAGAAGAACCTAAGGAATAGCAAGCTGATAGAGACGGGCCACTAAAGAGTCCTTCACGCTGCACTGAGACCAACCAACATGGTGAGACGTGGACAGCAGGAATTTGAATCTGAACTTTTAACAATTAGTTTCGAAACTACAGGAATACAAAGCCACAGTTGCACCACAGATCTGGCCATAGCTGAGCGCCACCAGCTGAGCTGCTACGGGACTGATCCGGCAAGAGAAAGGATGGTGGGAGACTGGCTGAGTTCTCTTAAGCCCCACTAAGACCCAGAGGATTGGCTGGGATTTGACTGAATTTTTCTGTGCTCCTGCAGACTGGCCATGATCCAGTGGGCTGGTAGTATCCTGACTGGGTTTTCTTGGACACTGTCAATTGCCTGGGATAGCGCTCAAGGGCGAGCCCACTGGTGGGAATTTGGTTGAATTTTCTTGGGCCATGCCTACTACCCAGGAACAAATGGGCCACTGGGAATTTGACTGAATTTTGGTGGACACTGCAGACTAG